AACGCAGCCATTGTCTGCTGAGATAGGACCATTCTTCTAGATCTAAAAGTATGATCCAATTAGCGCGAAGGAAACTTCCAACAGTTGCAAAACAAACTTTCTGCTGAACGCAGCCATTGTAGATCCGGGGTTAAGGCTTCCTTAAATTTATCTTCAGATGCTCTACGAATTATTTCATTGGCTACTGAGCATCTAAAGATAAATTTAAGGAAGCCTTAACCCCGGATCTACAATGGCTGCGTTCAGCAGACTCAACAGTTTTGCAACCGGTTTATGATTGTCTGCTGAGATAGGACCATTCTTCTAGATCTAAAAGTATGATCCAATTAGCGCGAAGGAAACTTCCAACAGTTGCAAAATAAACGTTCTGCTGAACGCAGCCATTGGCTGCGGTCAGCAGACTCAACAGGTTTGCAACCGTTTTATGATTGGCTGCGTTCAGCAGACTCAACAGTTTTGCAACCGGTTTATGATTGTCTGCTGAGATAGGACCATTCTTCTAGATCTAAAAGTATGATCCAATTAGCGCGAAGGAAACTTCCAACAGTTGCAAAATAAACGTTCTGCTGAACGCAGCCATTGGCTGCGGTCAGCAGACTCAACAGGTTTGCAACCGTTTTATGATTGGCTGCGTTCAGCAGACTCAACAGTTTTGCAACCGGTTTATGATTGTCTGCTGAGATAGGACCATTCTTCTAGATCTAAAAGTATGATCCAATTAGCGCGAAGGAAACTTCCAACAGTTGCAAAACAAACGTTCTGCTGAACGCAACCATTCATATTGAAGAATTTTACAACAGTTGCAAAGCAGCTTTCTTTGCTGAACGCAGCTTATGAATACGGGCATATCCGTATCAAGTTCTTGATGTAAATTAGGCTAGAATTTTGTATTCTCCAGGGTTCTCTTTCTCTAGTCCATGGTGTCTATGGTCTATCGTTTGCACGAGTTGATGCAAGTCGTTACAAATCGATGCGAAATAGATAATAGTGATCATTATTTGTGTAAAAGTGGGATTGTGTTACATCTAAATAAGAATAGAAATATATCTTGCGGAGATATATCGTATCTCAAGAAGGATAATGTGCAACATGCATGCGACTTTTTTTCGTCAGCAAACGGTTGTACAATTGGGTGCCATATTGTGTTTCAACATTTGGGTTTTGGTTCTCTACGGATCTCAATAAGACAGAAAGAAGGAAAGAGAGAGTGGGAGAGAGAGAGTGAGAGCAGCAGCGTGTCATTACTTTGATCTCCTTGAAGGCGCGACCCGCGACCCGCGACCCGTAGGGGCTCTGTACAGCCTTTATCTTACTATTTTTACATCATGGGCGAATCTGACCGTGAAGAGACGGCACACTGGCGGTAACGATACTGAATGGTACTCAGTGTTGGGTGAATAATAGTGTCTCGCGTTTTGTGTCGCTCTGTGTATACGACGTGCGGATCGCAAACGAGAATAGCGGATCCCGCAATTTGTTAGCAGTGACGACAGTCAACTGGAGAGAAAGGAGAACCGATCTGTGCGAGCTGGTGTTTCTTCGTGAGCCCCGTCCGTGTTGCACTCGCCATGACGTTGCTGTGAAATCCGTATCTTAATAATATCAATCCCGATGTTGGCCATAGGATTGTGCCAATGTAACTTTCGTACTTTTAACGTGGTGGAGAGAACCCGGGGCGGCGGCGGCAAAAAAAAAGGCAACTCGTGGATACCGAAGAAAGCTTCAAACGCGTTTGAAGCTTTCGAGGTCGTATTCATGGAACTATGAACCTGGACTCGTTGTCTTTTACTTTGTCACAAATCAGTTATTTGGTTGCGAATTTGAGTAAAAAAAATTTCGAGGACATCTGTCAAGAGATATCGAATGTGAGTAACAAATTGATCCTAGAAAAGAAGTTGGACAGAACCTTTCTCACCTTTGTCTTTCCTCCCCCCTCCTTCTACTTCTAAATTCTAATATTGGTCATAATTCTCACAAAGGTACGTTGGTGTGCCTTTGACCTCCTTCAGTCAGTAAATAGCACGAACATGGTTATATATTCACATGGAGTAACGTGCAAGTTATATAAGCGAGCATGTGAAATTACGTGTTATTGTTCATATCATTTTGAATGCTTGACCAATATCTGTCCAGTTATCTCATATCCTTTCAAATTGCGACATCATCTTTTTTTGTGTATATATTTACCGTTTACCTTTACTTTAGTTCTCTCTTAACTTCATAAGTAGGTTTTTCTATTCTTCCATTCTGATATTACCATTATGATACATATATTCTGTCCTATGTTACCTTCTTTATTATCATTTATCAAGATTTTTTTCCAAACTTTTAATCAGTTTATTATAACTTTTAACAGTTTATTATAAAATACAAGTTAAATGTTAGATCAGTAGGTATCAAATGAATAAGTTACAAATGTATATCGATGCATTATGGATGTTTTCTACTTAACGCTTGTAACATTTATTTTATCCTTGTTTAACAAATGTTAAACATTTGTTAAACAAGGACAAATGCTCGCGAGTGTTGTGAGCGCCAAATGGGATACACATCCTTTGTATCAAAGTCGTCAAAGGTCAAACCGCTATGAACTAATCCTCATGTCTCCACAGTTGGTGCAGTGGGGTGGTCTAGAGGCAGATCGACATTTGTTCCGCTGTCTGACATCGTGCGTTGACTTTTCCAAGGGTGAGCTGTCAGATTCGAGTGCGAAAGATTATTTCCAAACAAAGTTACTAAAACAGGAGTGCAATAGTTTGTTGAGCAAACCTTCATTTATATCTACTTTGTGCTTTGCTATAGATAATCCTTTACATCATCAAAAGGTACATTATGAAACATTATTACCATTGCTGTATAATTGGATCTTAATTATATTTACTTAAGATGATCTATATATTTTTCAGTCATTGAATTTCTCTCCAAAATTTTTTACTAATTTGAAGAAAACACTTGGCTTGACTTTGGTACAAGAGGTCACGTTTGCGATTGCATTGCAGCATTCAGAAAACGCTGAAATTCGTGCTTTAGCCTTAGAACATACTCAAAAGCAGCTGCCCGAGTTGATAAAGAATTACATAAATTCTGAGATTAGTAACAAGCATCAGGAAGGTGGTTTGCACGACTCTTTGCCTCAGGTCCTTCATCTGATACTCAGCCAAGCTTTTCATACTGCCAATCCATACAATTTACCTGTGGAAACAAAAGAAAAATTTCTTAAACATTTACGACGTGACTTTCCTCGTGAACTAGTACCAGTGGTGCTAGCACCATTCTTGTATCCAGCAGACGAGGAAACTCTGCAATTCAAAATCGAATTAAACATGGCTGTCACTCAAATGGTAAAACATTATTTATTGTCAATAATTGATAGATTGCAATACATTTATATATTTTTCCATTTTAGGATAGCAACACTCTTGTAGAGTTGATTATGGAATTAGGATACAGCTTTACTAGTAATATAGAAGAATGTCGATCGGCATTAACAGGTTTAGGTGCCAGGGAGATATCCCCAGCATGTGTTGCTCGTGTATTGTCACAAATGGCACGTAGCTGTAGCAGCCTGGATGATGCTGGAAGCCTACAAACATTTTGGGGCAATTCAACTACCTCGCAAGACTCCAATAAGGAGAAATCATCGGACAGTACTATTCCCACAACATGGAACGTTGAAGTATTCGTCCTAACATTGAAAGAGATAGTAAGTTTATGTCACATCTAGGATATGTATGTATAAGATTTATCT